GTAGCAAATGGCAACCAATCCTGCCAGGAGAAAGGTGGGAAAACTGGTGAGCATATAAAAGGCAGTGTGTGCTCAGACTTCAGCCTCTTTCTCTCCTCAGGGAAACTGATCCTTTCCTCTTCACTTCTTCACTTCCTTCTTCACTTTCACTTCATAGAGCTTCTTTCTTTTTCCCGTAATAGACTGTTTGTGTGGGATTGCTTAGTCACAGTACTCATTCTTCATTCTTTTTTGAGAGACTCTCACTCTGTCAGCCTGGGTAGTGGGCTGTGGGGCGTCATAGCTCCCAGCAACCTTAAACTCCTGGGTTCCAGCAATCTTCTTGCCTCAGCCTCCCGAATAGCTGGGATTAAAGGCAAACAGCTACCTGTATTCCTTCTTGACACTGGGATTGGGGGAGAGCAGGGAACATCTGGATGGACCTAAGTGTCAGACAGAATACCTGCATTATAGGTGAATGTAAAAAGTCTGAAAGGAAAGGAGTCCTGTCATAGAAAGGAACTGCTGGTATTACCCTGTACTTAGAAACTTGAAAACTTTAAGAACTTTAGAACATTGAGTTTAAGAATTAATGTAGGAATTAATTTATTGGAAACTATCTAAATAGAAAAAGGAAAAACTTGTCTGTTCAGCAGGGCTGGTAGGCTGGTAGAAACTTGTGGCAAACATTGGTCAAGTTTTGTTGTTGTTGCCATTATTATTGTGCCCCATATTCTTTGCTTGGTATTAGTTTAAGTTGGTAGGATATCAGGGCCAGAATTCTGAAAATTTGTACATTAGTGACATGAAAATTTTTTAGGTGTATTCATTTCAATCCTGGGATGAAAATAGAGGTGATGAAGGTAGAAATGGGAAAGTGATGATTTCTGGAAATTTCTGAAATGTCCATTAATTTTGTTCTTCCTTGCTAGAAACTGGTAAAAATACAAGTAAGAAAAACAGAGCAAAGACTTAGCAGTGTTAACCAGCTCTTTGTTCTACCAGAAACCTTTTGGGTTTTCAAATTGAATTACCGGTAATGAATCATGGTTTCTTGAAACAATACTTGCCAACCTATTTTTTGTTTGATTTTTTGAGTCTTGCTCTGTCACCCAGGCTGTAGTGGAGTGGCACAATCACAGTGCAAGGCAGCCTCAAATTCCTGAGCTCTTGCAATCCTATAGCCTCAGCCTGCTGATAGATAGCGCTATAGGCACCCAACATGATGCCTGGCTAATTTCTTTTTTCTTTTTCTGTTTTTGTAGAGATAAGATCTTGCAGTGTTTTTCAAGTTTTTTCTCAAAATCCTGGCCTTAAATGATCATCTTGCTTTGACCGCCTACATTTACTGGTTTTACCAGTATGTGCTGCTGCACCCATCCCCAAACTCTCTTTGAAAACTCTGTAGAAAAACGTAAGTAATGTGAAAATAGTTACTGGTGTTAAGTGACATCCCACATTCCTGTGTGTATAATAAATGGAGGTTATTCTTGAAGATTCATAGCACCCATTAGCAAACTGAGGTCTGCAAACATTCTCCTTTTTTTCAAAAAGCTTTGCCTTTGTTTACATAGAAATTTTCCAAGCTTATAACTTTTATATATTAATAGTTGAAAGTCAGATGTTCAACAGAATAACTGTTTGTGAACACAGTTCCATTGAAATAACCCATGAAATTCTGCTATAAGTAGGCAATGGCAAAATTAGTACTCTAATATTCTCAGAATCTAGAAGAATATTAAGAACTTACCTATACATCTTGGTGGCTCTGACCACTCTCCATTACTACATGTTACATATTTAGAACCCCGAAGTTCGTAGAAGGACTGGCATTGGTACTCAACTCTTGACTGTGGAAGGTATGCTTTTAATAGGAAGGATGTGATGTCTCCATTGCTAATAGATGGAGGAGGCCCACATTTTTCTAGAGAATCTAAACAGAAAACACTTTATTTTGGAAAAATCAATAATTTATTGAATACTATCTAAATAAAGCTCTTAATGTACTAGTAACTATATCTTATTTATTTTCTGAAGGATATATTTTGCATGTCAACCTTGAGCTTTAAAAATGTCTCAAAGTAATGTATACTCAAACAAGGAATATGTACACATATATTTTAATTCTAGAAAAATAAATAACAAAAATTCCAATACTTACTATAGCATGTTGGCAAGTGGGACCAGCCATTTTCACCACGTTATAGAATCTGTGATGTTTCCACTTTTGCTTTCATACCCATCATGGCATTCGTAGTCCAATGTGTCATTGACCTTAAACCATGTACCATTACTTTTGGCTCTGGAATTCTCTAAAACTGGCATATTACAAAATTCTAAAAGAAAATAAATTGAATATTTATTTCTATGCTGTATCATGTACAAATCAACTGAGAAAGTCCCACTGTAGGAATAAAATTTACTTATCAGTGAGTACTAATAAATTAAGGTCCATTAAAAATAATCTGACAACCAATAATCTTTTGTACTGAAATTGTTAATTACAATGGGAAAATATATTTCCCTATATATGATCTTTCTTATCATTGAAATCATATGAAAAAATATTAATACCATATGGCCAGATCTATTTTTACTTTTGTGGATATCATTGGCTGTTGTACATTTTTTATAATACACTATTATTATGCCATGATGATATTATTTTAAAGATGATAAAACTGTACGAATTTAAGAGTTAATTTACCTATTTCTGTACCAGATATACTAACAGTAAGTTAGTATATATGTTAGACGAAAACCGTATTTATTGGACATAAGATCCCTAAGAATTTTTAAAGTATCCTCCCTACTGTTATACAAATCTTATAATAGATAATTTATTAGAGCTGAGTAAAACAATGGATTGCCATTTATACAGCTTCTTCATTATTCAGAGTCAATGATAAGCTCAGAAATGAAAAACCATATAAACAGTATTCTATAACCCCAAAATCTCACTGAGTAACTTTAAGTTAACCCCTTTTTAATTCCATGTGGTGTTTCCCCCCTTAGCTTAATGTCTTGAGATTCATCATGTTATATTATATATCCATTGTTCCTTCTATTTTATTATATGTTTAAATAGTTGAATTGTATCCTTTAAAATGAAGTGGGTTTGCAATATATAAATTATATGCTAATATTTGCTAAAAGTAAATAGTTTATCATCAAAATATTGAGAGATAAAACATGAAATCTTGAAACTGAAAGATTTTCTCCATTACTCAATTTATTTATCCTAATAAGTAAAATTTCAAATTGTTTTGGAGAACTTTAGGTTTCAGGAATCCATTGGTTAGTGTGAGGTTGTCAACTTTTCCAACATCCATACTTTAGACTGAAAACCTGGTATAGGAGCCTGCTCCTTACCCAGTTTTGCTTTCCACAGTTTCAGTTACCCATGATCAACAATAATCTTAAAATATTTAACAGACTATTTAATATCAAATTCCAGAAATAAATAATTTATAACTTTCAAGATGTGTTGTCCTGTGTAGTGTGCTGAAAGCTTGTGCCACCCAGCTGCATCTGCCCAGGACATGAATCCTCTTTTGTCTCAGGTATCCACAGTCTATCAATCTTTTCCACCTATATATTAGTCACTTAGTAGCCATTTTGGTTATCAGATCAAACAAAAATGTATATATAGGGTTTGATACTATTTGCCTTTCAGGCATCCAGTTAGGGGTCTTGGAACATATCCCTCATGGATAAGGGGAACTACTGTACGTTTTATCCCCCACAGATAAGGAGAACAGCTGTACCTTCAAAAGCATCAGTCTAAGTGGCAGTAATAATTCAAGTTTTACAACAGATTAAGGGAAATTTAGTAATCCATTTGGCTGGGATTTTCTTTTCAGTGACTATTTCAAAAGAAACCACAGCTGATTTCCACTCATTCCGGACACATTCCAATATGTGCTTACTGTACTGACTTGAGTGATTTTGAATTCCTCTACTGAGAAATTTTGAATTTTCTCACAACTTGGTTATGAGAGATTAAGACTTAATTCCAGTGAAAAAATCCCATGATTCTTCAATGATTCAATATATGTTGGTAATATCTAAATCTGAAGATGAAGCTAAGACTTGGTAATTATATGTCCACCATGAAGTAGATAAACAACCTGAGTATATTACAGGGCAGAGCAAAAAATTACATAGCAAAATTCTTCTGACTAACTTGAACCAGAAAGATTTGGGTTAGTGAGAGAAAGAAAGAAAATAAAAGAGTGGTTGATCCTGCCAACTCCAAAACCAAACCAAGAGGCATTAAATTTAATTGAATTGTTGGATATCAAGGGAAATTACACATTAAATGGAAACATATCATTGATCTCTTTTTAAAAAGTCTACCAAGAAAAAATAAAAACGATGATATCACCAGACATTGAATAATGAAACTCAAAAATGACACTGATAAAGAATAAAGATTAAGGTGCAAGGTCATGTTTAGATATCCTTATTTATTCTAACCTTGTATAATTAAGATAGAGAGTTACTGTAACACTGGTTGAAAAATTATCTACTAATAGTGTAATATAGAGTACTCAGAATACTAGCCATTTTATATACATGTATATATAATATATTATTTGAGAAATGTACAAAAGATTTCTGAGAAAATGTTGGGATTCTCCTATTTAAAAAAAGCAAAAACAGTTATTATCATAAATTAAATCAAAATTAAATAAACTGAAAATATAGCAAGGGAAGAGAAAGTATTGTAACTTTTTTCTGTGACATACAGTACACTGTCTCTAGGTTTTTAAGGAAGAACTATTATTTTCAATAAAAATAATAACATTAATTATGAAAAAGACTGAT